GGTACAATTCGGTACAACTCAGTATTTGCTCAGGATTTGCTCGGTATTGCTAAGGATTTGCTCGGTATTGCTAGGTATTTGCTCGGTATTGCTAGAAAAAACTAGGTACAACTCGGTACAACTCAGTATTTGCTCGGTATTGCTAGGTATTTGCTCGATATTGCTAGAAAAAAATTAGGTACAACTCGGTACAACTCAGTATTTGCTCAGGATTTGCTCGGTATTGCTAGGGATTTGCTCGGTATTGCTAGAAAAAACTAGGTACAACTCGGTATTTGCTAGGTATTTGAAATATATCGAAAAGGTGATGGGATGTTGTTCGGCTCGTCAAGGATTTAAAAAAACGCACGCGCTAGAACCCAAAAACAGCGGGTCGGGGTCGGCGACTTTTCTTCATGCTACGTGTCAGTAAAATATTGGTGGCCGAACGTAGAGGAGCGTACGTTCACCGGACCAAATAAAAGTTCCATTCTTATAATATTGTATCTTCATATTAACTAATAAATAAAGGTCACACATGATGATTAAGATTTTGTTTTGAGTGGTTTTCTTAATGGTCTCTAAAGTATTTTTTAGTATAAATTTTTTTCAATTCAAGATATTTTTATATTAAAAATTTGCTTTAAAAATATTGAAAAAATCATCTTAAAAAGAATCTAAATAATATTTTAATAGAACAAATGTTAGAATTTTCTCCTCTCTCTTAGGCTTCGTTTGAGACGGTTTTCTTCTTGCTTCTTAAAACAGCTTTTTAGTTAAAAAGTTTAAATTTTTATACTAAAAAATCGCTTTAAGAAGCAGTAAGAAAGCCGTCCCAAACGAAGCCTTAAACGAGATACTGGTTGAGATATTACCTACAATGAATTTTGATGTTATTTATTGAAATGTCGAAGTTGACGAAGCAGACCACCGGCGAAGCGGAATCACTCGAGCAATGGGCGATTCTTGTTCTACCCTGGCTTCCTCCCTCTGCCCTCTCCGCCGCAGCCTCAACCTGCCGCTCCCTCAGCCGCGTCGCCGCCACTGTCAACTCTCGCCGTGTCGCCGACGCCGCCCGCGGTCTCGAGATCTATCCCATCCCATTCCACAACCCGACCTCGGATCCCACGCCCTATTCCTACTTCCTCTACTCCCGCTTCCCCTTCTCTTCTCCGCCTCCCTTTTGTCAGTCCTGGGGCGGAAACCTCTCAAGGCCTGCAACCAACCCCTTCTCTCTTGCGAATTTCATATCCAGTGTCACAACAGTCAGCTTTTTCTCTGGATGTGACTGCGTCGGTTGCTCGATCGATGGGGGGTGCCCTTGCTCAGGTTTTGATGATGGTGGAGGAATAGGGGTGGGGTCGTTGAGGGAATGTGGGGTACATTGCTCGTGTGGGTTGGAGTGCGTGAATAGGACTACGCAGCGAGGGATCGGCGTTAGGGTTAAGATTGTTAGAGATTTGAAGAAGGGCTGGGGATTGCACGCGGATCAAGTCCTGAACAAAGGGGAGTTCATTTGCGAGTATGCAGGTATTATAAAGTTATGAACTTCTGTTAAGCCTTTGAGTTTTCGTCAACTGTAAATCTCCAATCTATTGCTTCTGCTTTGAGTGGGGGCTTAAGTTTGCTAGATTGAAAATCAATAGGAAAAATCATATTTTTCATAAGTTGGACCATGTTTGATTTTTTTGTTTTTTTGCATGCTTTCTGTTATTTCGTTTTTGTTGTTTTAAGATGCTGAAATATAACATATCTTGTTCTACTTCATATTTATTGTTTCTCAGGGTTGATTAATGTCAAACAGGGAAAAGGCTGCTTTGATGTTTCAATAATTTCAGGAAACATGGCTTAATTTTTAAGAAACAGAAAACGAAAATAGGCCATCAGCATATTTATTCTGTGTTTGTTTGTTTAAAATCCTGGGTACAAGATCCTTCTCATTAAAAAAGGTACAAATATGTGCAACAATATTAGAAAATACAAAAGAATGAAATGATAAGAAAATTCCAAACAGTAGCTAGACCGATGGAAGATAAATTTCAGGATTATTAGGGAAGCCAAGTCATTCATAAACTTTTAGTTCTGTCGCCCTTGGCCTTTTGACATCAATATATCCAAAAGAAGGCCAATGTAGTGATGCTATATCAAATGACTAATGAAAAGAGTATGCCACAAATACTTAAGATCCTCAATTTGATTATTTCTCCAATGTCCAAAAATGGTTTGAATGCTACTGAAATGAGTTTTTACTCCAAAAAACTTCAATCATTCTTAGGGGAAGCCTTGTACATACCATGATTCTTGGAAGAGAGAATCATAAATATGTGGATAATTGGAGATGCACCTTACTAGGAATCTTCTTTAGATAAGTGAATCAACACACAACAACTGCCTTTAGTGACTAATAGTTTTAAAATTGAGCCCGAGTTACTAGCCAAACAAATATCATTAATAAGAAAATGAAAAAAAAAACCCATCTAAGACTTGACAAAAAAATTTTCACATCTGAATTCTGAATAAGTTGATTTCTGGTATAATTAAGAGTTATATTCTCCAACAAAACATTCAATTGCGCCAATTAACATCTAACATGAGAGGGAACATTTCCTTTCCAATGAATTCTCTATCTACTTGTCAATGAATATTGAGAGCTGATGGTGTACTTCTTGTGCCATGTATAATTTGCTAATTGATTAAATCTAGTAATAAAAAGAATATTATCTATCGATATATTTATCCTTCTAAAACCTCATCGCACTACCATTATTGAATTTTGAAGAGACATTGATGAAACAAGATCTACCATTCCAACCCAATTTATAAAATTGACTTTTAGTTTAGCTTCCTCCAAAAAATCATTTTGTTGATCCTTTCAAAGTATTTGCCTTGAAGGATTTTCCTCCAATAGAAGATTTATCTCCTTGAATAGATTTTTGAATTCATTTCTCATGTAAAGAAATGTTAAAGCTTCGCAGATCCAAATATGCCATATCCACCATACTCATCGGGGCTACACATTATTCCACATAAAAAGGTCACACCTTTCTCATCAACACTCCCATTTAAATTATTATTTTTTTCTAACAGAATTAATGCTCTAAATTGCCTATATAAGAATAAAAAAGATAGATAAGTAATATAAGGTAGCATTTTTAAAATGAAATTAATAAGAATATCTATACAAACCCTTGATAGATAATTCACCGTCTAATTTCTCAAATTTTTATTGATTTTGTATGTAAAAGAGATCCATAAAACTTAATGAATAGGTTAGTACTTTGGAATTGAGTGGTGAAGTTTAACAACATGAAATATCCTAGTCTCATCTGCAAATTGAATGCTAGTAATTGGATTATCTGTCAAATTACACTTACACTGCTCCATTTATCTATGATTAACTGCAATGATATTGAAAAGAAAAGTGGAGAGAGGGTCGCTATTCTGCATCCTCTATAACATTTGATTTGTTTGCTCAACTCCCCATGATTAGAATAATGTTGACTTGGATCAAGGTTTCTTTAACCAAGTGAATGAATTTTTGGGGAAAATGCCTTTTAGCAAGAATAAGAAGAATGAAATTCCTATTAAATGAATCATAAGCATTTTCAAACCCTAAATATAAATTTCTCACCCTTCCTCCTGAGACAGGAATGAATAATCTTGTGTGCTATTATGAAATATTTTTTCATCTTTTCCTTGAATAAAAGCACATTGAGAGGAATCCACAATAGTTTAGAAATGACTTTGATGTAAACTTTAATGAGGATTTGGTTCATCCCACATGTGCCCGACATGGACATCCTGCTTTTTATGTTTTATAGAGTTTTATGCAACTATTGAGAGTTGCCAATATTCCCATAGAAGTTTGATTTTAATTCAAAATGATCAATATGTATAAACAATATAAGCGATTACGAGATTCGTGCATTAAGTAGGGTGATAAGTCTGAAATTAAGTAATTCATAATTTTTCAAGAGATACATCTCTACTATAAAACATGAGCGACAAATATTCTTTGATATTTTTACACATTATTAACATTTGTAGAAAAACAAGTAGGACCTAGATATATATTAGATCCTAAATAGAACACCACATTCTTAATCTTTCTAATGCATCATCATGGGGATATAATTTCAAAAGGTTTATGAAGTAATCATAATAATTTTCTTACCAAAAGATGCTTAGAAATATCTATGAAAGTAGTGGATGCTTATCATCAAATTATTTTGTCATCACCTTTCTTATCATGTTGATTAAGATTTATTCTCTCATTTACCACTTTGTAAAAATAGATTGGATTGTTGCCTTCCTCGAAAAACATTCAACTATATATTTTAGGTCTTTCTCCTCTTTAGAACAATAAAGACATTTTTCTTTTTATTTAAATTTTTTTTCCTTACAACATAGCATTAAAAAAAAGTCAAGTGATTCCAAACATGCTTGAAAGATTTATTTTAATTTTTTATAAATGTTTAATACTTGAGGAGTTAGTCAACCACACATGAAGTTACCTTCAAAATTTTTCTTAACAATAATTTTGTAATGCTATAAAAATCTCAACTTCTTAATATGATATTTAAGAACAAATCATTTAGAGATTTTTATCTGTGGGCCACTTGAAAAATATGAATTTTTCTCAGCTTATCATCAAATTCTTTCTATTTATTATCGTTGAATCCTTGTTAATAACTCTTACAAAGAGTTGTACCTAACTTGTTGATGTTAACTGGTGTTAACCCAAAGGGAATATGTTTTAAAGAACCATTCTTGAATACCATTTAATTGCAAAAGCAATCTTTATATACTACGTCAAGTCTATTTAATTTTTAATTTTGAAAGGCCAAATATGACATATAATTACATTCAGGCTTGGTTAAGGGAAATTAACTTAAGAAACTTTTGAGCCAAAAACTGAACTCAAATCCAAATTTTCAGCTTTTAAGACAATTTCTGCCCAAAGCTAGCCCTTGTTGATGAACTGAGGTTTAGGTCTAGGCATAGCTCTTATGCAAGGTTAAAGTATTATATTGAGATTTGACTGATTAGCGTGTTAGTAAAATAGATATGGATTATTGCAACATTGCACTAATATTATGACTAGTCACTCGAACCTCAATGATTAATATGTCTATCGGCATTGCATATCTGCTTAGTCTATCATATAGTAGACATAGTTGACAGGGATACTCACCTCAAGCTCTTAATTGTATCTTTTCCTCTATTAATAATGGCTACGATGATTGCCAATCTCAATTTATCAATAAGTATTATACTCATTCATTCTCCTTCGATCAAATCGTAGAAGCAATAGATGATGCTGTTGAGGATCAATTTGAAATTGATCTAGTGGTTATGATCATACTAAATTTTAAAATTTCACCTCTTTTGGTAATTAATATTGTGTTTATGAGTGACTTTGAGTATGCTGAGATCATTAGCCTTTTGGGGCCACATCAAATTTCATTAAAGGAGTATCCATAATTGCCAATTTTACTTTTTATTTTGTAGAAATTCCTTGTTATTAGTTTCCTCCTCTCTCTACCATCATAGGCTAACTATCTTGAAATTATATCCTGATTCTAGATAAAGGATTTTACCAGTTATTTACACTTTCATATCTTCTTTTCTAACATTTTTATTCTTCTCTTTACTCAATCTACCATTAATTTTGTGCTACAACCACTACCACCTATTACAATTTGGATTGAATTGTCTGTTTTTACTATCATGATGGAATGTTTATTATGGCTGCTACAAAAACCTCCTAATGTCTGTCACATTCTTTGAAAGCTACTTGCATTTTCTTCCCCTAATTATTGATCTATGTACGAGCTAATTTTGCCTCCACCACCGCCATGGAAAGCTGGAAACCTTCCAACTTTTCAGGGAAGAGTTTATATCAATCTATGTGAATGTTGCATGATAATTATAGTTGTTAGGAGTTTTTTAAGAACATTTAGCATCTTACCAAATTAGTTTAGCATAGAAAAGTGTTCTAAGCTTGAATTTCAAATCAACTTATTATTGAATATTGAAGCGGGTATTATCATCTCTAAAACTGTTCTCTCTCTCTCTTTTCTTTTTAACCCTTCTATAATTCTTTATCCCGTTTTTTTCTCTTTTTCTTTCTGTATCTTATATACCTTTTTCGTATTTCACCATTTGTTGACTAAAGAATAAGTTGCCTCCAGAATAATATTTAATAAGATAATGTTGAGAATACTTGAAATATTTACCAATTGGAGGCAAGACCGGCTAATTCTATATTTTATGAATGACTATGTTAAATGAGAATGCTAGGTTGGTTGTTTGATAAAGCTAGAAAATATAACCTGCTCTGTTAGGAAGCATATGGGAGTATCAGCTAGAATGGATGGTGTTGATGTTGTAGATTCAAGTGGTTTGGGCACATGCAAGCTAGTAGAGGTTGGGTAGGAAGATTGTTTGAGCAAATCAAGGAGACTAAAAGTATGCACAAAAATTTACATAAATTAGGGATAACACCACATGCAACATTTAGCGGGAAGGAACGAGGAATAAGAATTATAATGCTGAACCCAACAGTTGGGGGAAGGATGATTAATGATATGATAATGAAAATGTTTAGAGAAGTCTTGATCAAGATAAATTATTCTGTGTGGAGATCGGACGCAAGACAACAAATTATTCTGTGTGGAGACCGGACGTAGTACGCTGTCCGGAGACTAACCAGAATCCCATCAGCGGCACCGAGCCGCGTTAACGAGCTGTACCGAGCAAAACCGAGCCGCGGTACTGAGTAAAGGGATGATGTGGCGCATTTTGGCTGGTCCCCGAACAGTATTTGGCGTCTGCACAGAATAATTAATCATTGATCAGGCTTTTTGTGCTCTCTTCCATAGAAGGATGATCACTGATCTCTCAAGGTATTGACTTTGTTGAGAGATAATTGGCTGGTCTTGTCATCACAATGTTTTGGTTATTTTTTTATTGCTTCTATCAATCATTAAAAACTAAATGAATTATTTGCTAACCATTATGCATAAACAATGCCTGAGCTTATTAGCTGTTGCTGGCGTTACGTTTGATTGTTCACTGAAGTCTGAAATGTTCTCTTTTGTTCTTTGATGTGCAAAATAACATCTTAATAGCAACCAGTTCCCCTGGATATCTAATTTTATGTATGTGATGCGAATGTTGTCATGATTCTTGTTTTATTTATCCTTGTCCAATGTGGTCTTTGTTTTAAGTGTCAACTAGTCTAGTCGGTAAACAACTTGGAAGTGATTATTGTTTTATTTGTATGATATGATGTGGCTTTCATTTCTTTCTTTTAGTGTTAGCTGGTTAGTTGGTAAATAACCTAAAAAAGTAAAAAGTGATTCTTAATGTCCTCGGTTCGAATTTCATCTATTTCAAATTTGTGTCTTGACATTCATCATTCCAAAAAAAAAAAAAAAAGAAGGATGTGGTTACTGGGTTACTTTTGGTCATTTTTTATGATTAATAATTTGAAGACTTTTATTTCCATTGTAAGTATTTTTTTTTTGTTGCAAAATCACCTAGATGTATAATGTATTACTCTTTTTTGGCATATATCCCTATTGAGATTTTATGCAAACATATAAGAAAGATTTTCATACCAGAAGTTGGCATTAACATTCTTCATGCTGGTGAAACATTGATAGAAAGCATTCCATCAGCAATTTAGTACTCGTAATCCACACTAAGATTTTATTTGGGACGGTTTTTTTACTGTTTTTTGAAGCAGGTTTCTAGTACAAAAATTTTAACTTTTATACTAAAAAGCTGCTTCAAGAAGCAGTAAGAAAGCCACCCCAAATGAAGCCTAAAAAGTGTCAACTTAGGCTTCGTTTGGGGCAGCTTTCTTATTGATTTTTAATACAAAATTTTTAATTTTGTTACAAAAAATATGCTTTAAGAAACAGTAACAAAGCCGTCCCAAACGAAATCTTAGAGAAGCTTCCATGCATTAGCTGCTTCAAAAGAGCATATATGATTAAGAATGCTGCAGCAAGCATAATCCTTATGCAAATCTCATGGAAAGTTTCTAGTTAACTTATATGAATGTTTCCCTCTGCGCAGGCGAATTTGTGACAACAGAAGAGGCGAGAAGGCGGTTACAGACATACGATGAGCTTGCATCCACTAACAAGCTTTCACCTGCACTTCTTGTTGTGAGAGAACATCTTCCGTCTGGTAAAGCTTGCCTGAGGGTCAACATTGATGCAACCAAGATTGGAAATGTGGCTCGGTTCATCAATCACTCGTGTGACGGTGGCAATCTGATGGTCGTGCTGGTGAGGAATTCTGGTTCATTTCTTCCTAGGCTTTGTTTCTTTGCTGCTTTAGATATTTCAGAAGGTGAGGAGCTCACCTTTAGCTATGGAGATACTCACCTCAGGCCAAATGGCCTGCCTTGCTTTTGTGGAAAAGAAGCTTGTATGGGTGTCCTTCCCTCAGAGGAAACATAACATGGCATGGCCTATTGTTCTTGTGAATATATGATGTTAGATAAGCATTATGATCTTTAGTTGAAAAGCTTAAACTTACAACCGATAGACTTATAAACTAAGATGAGCTACATAAATAAAGCTATTCTCCTCATGTTCTTCTTTCACCTTTCCTAAATTCTTGTAGCTTTACAACCTCCAAATATGTGGGAAATTAGTGAGAGTTTATAGCCCAGCAACAACATCAAGCCTTTATCGCACTATGTGGGGTCGGCTACATGAATCAATTTTTTTTCATTATGTCTGGTTAAGAGTTAAATTCTCATTCAGATTTAATGAAGAAAGTTCATTTCTAATATTTTATAACCAAGTTTTTTTAGGTATATCCCTATCTTTCTTAACATAGGTTAAATCTAATACATCTACTCTCCTAACCGGGTCATCAGAAGGCCGCCGTTTTATGTGACCAAACTATCCAAGGCGAGTCTCTCTAATCTTATCTGTTGTTAGATCTACTCCAATCTTTTCACGTATATGCTCATTTCATATCCTGTCTCTAAGATTATGCTTCCTTTTAATGTGATAGAAAAACCACTCATTCACCTAAGCATCCTCATCACTGCGGTACTGAACTTAATATTATGCTTCTCTTTTAATTGGCAACATTCTGCGCCATAAAGCATTGTAGGTCTAACTATCATCTTATAGAATTTTCCCTTAACTTTGATTGGTTCTTTTCTATCACACAACAAACCCCATGCATTAAAAAAAAAAAAAAAACAAGCCCGATGCATTCCTCCACTTCATCCATCCTATTTGAATTCTATTAATAATATACTTATCTATTTCACCATCACTCTGAACAATACACACAAGATATCTAAAATGTATACTCTTATTTAAGACGATTGCTCAAAGTCACAAACCCCCCATTAGATCTATTACCATTAAAATTACACTAAATATATTCGGTTTTAAATCTACTCAAATAAAAACTTTTAGACTCTAAGGTTGACTTCATAATTTAAGTTTACATTCAACTCACTCTTTAGTCTTATCAACAAGAAGATTATCGTCAACAAAAGAGAGTTTCTAGCCTAAAGTAATTAAATAATGAAAGTTGGGAGGAAGTTTTATTTTGAAATAAATCAAAATATTTATTTTATTATTATTCAAACTCTACAATGGAGAGAAATTAACACAGTAAAATAATTAAAAAAAAATCGAAGTAATTACTTATCTTTAGTAAACAGTAATTGATAGATCTATACTTAATTAGATGAATGTAGTTCAGTCAATCATTTCAGGCAATGGCCTCCCCTTAAATTGAGGAACTTTTATTAGGTCAGGACACCTAACGTAGCTCTACATCCGGACGTCAATAAAATGTCGCCACGTGCTTTTACTCTTTTACCGCGCGGCTCGACGACCCCACCCGGACCAGAACCCAGTGTTGTTATGTATTAGCTGATTTGTGCAGACCAGGGTATTGCTAGGTATTGTTCAGTAACGAGAAATATCATTCTGTCAAGACCAATACTTAGCAATACTGAGCAATTCCCCGGTTTTGTTAGGTATTGCTCGGTATTGGTAGGTATTGCTCGGTATTGATCTTGAAAGAGCGATATTTCTTGTTATTGCCAAGCAATACCTAGCAATACCGAGCGAAATCGAGCAATACCTAGAAATACACGAACATAGCAATACCGGGTTCTGGTCCGGGTCGGGTCGTCGGGCCGTACGGTAGAGAGTAAGAGCACATGACGATATTTTATTGACGTCCGGATGTAGAGCTACTACAGGTGTCCTGCATTAAAAGTTCTAAATTGAGAGAATATCATACGCTGAAGAAAGGCATTTGAGACTTTGTATTGCTCTCTGTGTTGGTGTAGATGCTAGTTAAGGCATAGGCGTTAAGGATATAAGAAGGAAGTTAGGATTGGAGCTGTTAAAAAAGATCATTAAAGAAAATGAATAAAGTATGAATTTTATTTGATAAATTGTTAGATGGAATCATTTAATAAAATATTTTTTATTAAATCGTATTAAATAAAATACAATAACAACATCAAACCTTTAACTCACTATGTTAGATTGGCTACCTGAATCATTTTTTTCGTTGTATCTTGTTAAGAATCAAATTCTCATTTAAATCTAATAAAAATATCTAATTTTTAATATTTTCTAACCAAATATTTTTAGGTCTATCTCTAGCTCTCTTAATATAGGTCAACTCTAACGCATCTAGTCTCGTAATCGGATATTAGAAGGTAGACATTTTATGTGACTAAATCATCTAAGACAACTTTTTCTAATATTATCTACTACTGAAGTTACTCCAACCTTCTCACGTATATGCTCATTTTAAATTTTGTCTCTAAGATTAAAGCCAATCATCCACCTGAGTATTATCATCTCTGTGACACTTAACTTAATTGTATGCTTTTCTTTTAATGACCAGTATTTTGTGCCATAAAGCATTGTAGGTCTCACAACCATCTTATAGGATTTTCTCTTAAGTTTGAAAGGTAATTTTCTATCACATAACAGACTCAATGCATTCCTCCACTTCAACCAGACAACTTGAATTCTACTAATAACATCCCCATCTATCTCGCGATCACTTTGTACAATAGACCCGATATCTTAAGACTCTTCTAACATCCACCATGAAATTCATTTTCTACAATTTATATCTACTACAATTTAAATCTCAAATATTCTAATATGTAATAATTTTATGCATTTATTTTACACTTATATTTGCATTATTGCAAATCACTAAAATTATTGATTAAGACTTTGTTTGGAACAACTTTTTATTATAGCTTGTTAATATAAAAATAGTTTGAAATAAAAATTCATATACTTAAAGACTATTTAAAAATAAAATTATCCAACTCCAATACATTCATTTATAATTAAATGATATTGAAAAATTTTATAATAAATACGCCATCAATTTTAATGATGTTTTAAGAAACTATCTTCTTTATCCAGAATAAATAATTATGCAGCTATAATATTCTTATTTATATTTGCTATTATACTGTCAAATTTTATTTTATTTGACTTCTACCTTTCACCATCCGCCAATTGTCAAAAAAAATAAAAATTCTAACCCCACTTCCAGCGGTTCTGCCACCACGGCAGCCGACAGGTACAAATGCCACGCTTTATCGTCCTCCATTGTCACTCTCAAAAACTTTCTTTTTTTTTGGGAAATTAAAATTTAAAATTTTGCATCAAAATTCTCAAATAAAAAAAATGAGTAACTTATTATTTTCCTAACAAATTGAAGATTATAATATAATTTTATTTGAAGTGATTTTTAATAATTTCTATGATGAATTTCTTATAATTGTTTTAAAGATTATAAATTTCCTGTGAATTTAAGGTTACACTTGGCTATTTAATGACTTACCTTCACAACCGTCTGGTAACCGGAGAACGGGAGCCCCTTTCGCTACTCCTTTTATCTTTACCTTTACTTCGTCTTCCTCTCCCGTCCTAAAAGCTCGCAGAAGAACTACAGAGAGACAGCGACAAAGTTGCTGAGATCGAAAGGAGACGCAGATGAAGCTCAAAGGAGTCGCCTTTCATCTTTTTCTTCAAAAACATGTGATCAAGTTCTGTTCTTTTCCACAAAACCTCTTCTTTTAATAAATCTCCGCAATACAATATTTTCTGAAATCCTTTTCAGGCGCATGCATGGCTCTTGCATCCCTATGTAAATCCTATCACATCTTCATTAACCTCTCTTTCATTCTCGTAATCTTCTTCTTCCTCTTCTCCTCCATCCTCTCCTCTTCAACTCAATCCATCTCTCTCTCCTTCATACTCAAGCGCTCTTCCCCTAACGATTGCAGAGCAATAGAAGCTTTAGAAGATAGCGAAAGCAAGTGTTCCTACCTCAAAATCAATGACGACTGCGGCACTCGCGGCTACTTTGATTACCTCCAGCTATTCTACTGTGTCTTCGGCAATTCTCCTCTTCTTGGCTACATCATCCTTTTCCTCTGGCTTCTGGTTCTTTTCTACTTGCTTGGCAACACTGCTTCCCAATACTTCTGCCCCTCCCTTGAGGGCCTCTCCCGTGTGCTGAATATCTCCCCCACCATCGCTGGTGTCACCCTCCTCTCCCTCGGCAACGGCGCACCAGATGTCTTCTCGAGCATAGTATCCTTCGCCGGTGGTGGCCGTGTCGGCGAAGTTGGCCTTAGCAGTGTTCTCGGCGGTGGCTTCTTTGTATCTAGTGCCGTCGTCGGTGTTATCAGCATCTGTATCGGCGGCAGCTCGCGGCGCCATGTTGTCGCCGTCGATGGTTTCAGCTTTATCAGAGACCTGTGTTACCTGCTTGTCACCCTCTCTTTCCTTCTCCTGATACTAGTCGTTGGCCGAATTCACATATTGGGGTCAATCTTCTTCATTTCTCTGTACATTCTCTATGTTATCATCGTCTCCACTTCCCATTGTTGTAAGGATGAGCTTGGATTGCCATTGTTAGAGTCTATTGAGGTGGAGCAGCTTCAGTTCGTTGAAGAACCTCTTGAAAACAAAGAAATTGAAGCAAAGCTGAGCTTTTTAAATCTTAAGGCAGCCTCAAGCTGGTTCCTTTTCTTGGTAGAGCTTCCGCTCTTTCTCCCAAGAAGATTAACAATCCCGATTGTGACAGACGAGAGATGGTCTAAACCATTTGCTGTGGCTTCTGTGACACTATCACCAATTCTTCTTGCAACTTTATGGAATTCTCAAACAGGGTGTATATCTTCAGAACAAAGCATCACAATCTTCCTCTTTGCTGCTTTATTTGGAATGATTCTAGGATTTGCTGCCATGGAAGGAACTGAAAGATCTCATCCCCCGAAGCTCTTACTACCATGGCTTGCAGGTGGCTTTCTGATGAGTGTTGTGTGGAGCTACATGGTAGCAGGGGAGCTTGTTTCTCTTCTGGTCTCCTTTGGGCATATAATTGGGGTAAGTCCTTCTGTTCTAGGAGTCACAGTTTTGGCTTGGGGGAATTCTCTTGGTGATCTCATTGCCAATGTGACCATGGCCATTAATGGAGGAGAGGATGGAGCTCAGATTGCAATTTCTGGTTGCTACGCTGGTCCAATTTTTAATATTTTGGTTGGGTTGGGGATGTCACTTGTCCTTTCTTCTTGGGCTTCTTATCCTGAAGCGTTTGTGATTCCTGAGGATCCTTCTCAGTTTGTGATTATTGGATTTCTTATAGGGGGACTGTTGTGGGCTCTGGCTATATTACCAAGGAAAGGGATGAAGCTGGATAGGAATTTGGGGGTTGGATTACTGACCATTTACTCCTGTTTTCTTTGCTTGAGGCTGCTTGAAAGCCTTGGTGTGTTGAAGCTTGCAGTTTCTTGATATGTATTTGATCTTTTGGATGATTCAACACTAAAGTAGATTTGAAATATCCAAATGTATTGAATCTCAGCTATCTAAAATAGATATGCACTCCTACAATTATTGGTATATTTATCTCCTGTTGTTTCAAATGTAGTGTGAATGTTCTGGCTTTAGGCAGCTCACCTTGATCTGTTGGTCGGGAGTGGCTACCAATCAAGAGGACTTAAGTTTAAGTCTTGCGTATGTGATGTGCGTGTGAGTTTGCCTTAATTGGCCTAAATGTCACAAAAAAAAAAAAATTGTTCTAGCTTTTGCTTGATGAGATTGTCCTCAGTGAATTATTTTGCTTTTATTTTAATTATTATTATTTTTGTACATGTGAGGATCTCATTTTCAATGAATTTTGCAGGCTTGGCTCCTTCCCTATGTACAAAACTTAATATCCTTTATGGAACTTTTCAAGTTATTTAGAAAACAACAAGAAATCTATGCCAAATGAAGCCTAAGATTATATTTATCGATTGCTAGATTTTGTGGAATTTTAGTAGCACGTGAATTTAATTAAAGTTCGTGATCTTTAGACTGTTAGAGACACTGCATACAAATTTATTTGGACTCATTGATATGTATTGAAAAAGGACATCACTTGTGCATCCCATATCCATATAATTTCATGAGCATCATATATGATGTAACATGCCCATAGAGTAACATCATGCAAAGTTATATATTTATATTCAATATGTTTTATCATTTAACCATATTCATATAAGCAAAATATCTAGAATAATTTAATATCATAATTGTCATATTCATGATATCATGCTTATCACATGATGTAATGAATTGTGTTTTTTTTTCTAAAGGGTTCACATATTCATGCAATTTTTTATGTGTATTACACATCAAAGACATGATGAAATACTTTAGGTTTTAAAATCCATTATTTATAAAGCATATCCCCTGTCAATAGAAGCGAGAGGAATTGCTATTGTGTTAAATCAAAGACATCTCTTATCTTATGTTGAAGATATCCAAGCCAAATATCCCTTACAAATCTCTTCCTAGTCTTATCCTCCTCCTAAATTTCCTTTTCTGTTTATTTATAGAACTAATTATTTATCCTTAATAAAATTGTATAAAATTATTGCTTAAAATTTTTTCTCTTTTCATACCTCATCTTATATTAAATTAGCCCTTAAAAGGTAATGTTTCATGCCATTATAAGAAATATAAAAAAAATTAGAGCATGTCACCTTAATTAATTGCTAAAATTAACTTAATTATTTTAGGTTATATATAATATTAGAATCTTTTAAATCTTTCAATTCTTATCTTCTAAAAACTGAAAGAAATATATCTTTATTCTTTCACTATGTTCAAAATAATGTTTCAAGATGTTGTGATATATTTTCATCAATTCATCTACGTGGAGTCGACTACATGAATCTTTTTTCTCCATTGTATCTTATTAAGTATTAAATTCTAACTTAAATCTAATGAAAAATATAATTTCTAATACTTTTTAATCAATTTTTTTCAAGACTATGTCTACCATTCTTAACATAGAATGGATTTAATACATAGGGGTGTTAAAACGGGTTAATGGGTCAAGTTTGGGTCCAATATGAATTGACCTGGGTCCAAACAGGTTGACCTTAACCCGACTCAATTTTGCATACATGATATGAATTTCAACTTGAACTCGACCTGCGCGGGTTACTAGGTTGACCTGAACCAATCCACAAACCCAGTGTTTGTGCATGTGTGTGGGAGCAAACCTGCGTGTGTGCGGGGTGTGGAAAAGGCTCGATGCTGACTCAAACAATTGGCAGTTAGCGCCTAACGAAGCAGTGTCGTTGTGCCGGTATGGAGTGTGAACATATGCACTGTGTTGTGCGGATGAACACGATAGGCTCGTGAGCAATTGACGGACGGTGAACACGAGTCAGCTTGTCGCTCGCTCTTTGCTGCCAGTGCTCAACGGCGATCCTCGGATGAGGGACAGCCAGTGCGCTGAGCTGTGCAGGCAAACATGTACGGGGTAGGCTACTAGGCTCGCGACGTGAGCAGTTGGCAGGCAGACGCGATAGGGTTTTGTAAACAGGTTAATCTGAACCCAGAATTTTTCGGGTCGAGTTTTAGTTCAGGAGAAATATTATCACCCCTACTAATACATCTACTCTCATAATCAATCCATCGTAAGGCTGATGTTTCATGTCGTATATGATATATTTTTCATCATTTTCTTATTTATGGAACTTAATATTTAAAAAGTTTAAATTAAACAAGAAAAATAATTATTATTATGTTGTAGAACATTTAAGGCGGTAGAGAGATAACAAGCTTAGCATGCTAGCTTTTGCATGAAGATCCGACACATAGAAACATAAGAGAGATGAGTGCAAGATTCATGAGAGACACCTTAATTTTTACGTAAAAATCCCTTAAAAATGAAAAATCACGAGGCACCAAGCATAAGAGAGGAAAATACACCCTCTTATGAAAGGAAGAGGGATTTACAAAACAAACCAAGTACTTTGATAAGAATGAATGACTCGATTAAGAAAACTATAAGGTGGAGTTATTAACATGCATCCACTAGTGTTCTTGATTACAAATGAGGCCCTTCCTTGGGGGGAGTTTTTGGATTTGTCTCTTTGGATTTAATGCCTTAATGAGGTCATAATTTAGCTATTTTAGGCTCGTTAGATTTGTCTCGCCGAGTCACTTGATTCGACTATAAGCATGCCATATTTGGATATCATCTAGTCATCCAGTTAAGGTTTTGAAGCTTCCAAATATGCTTTGATCCCTAGATTTTGGCCCATTTGTGCTAGGATTGGATCAATTTTTGTGTCGTTGGATTCATCTCCTCTAGATGTTTAATTTGATTTAAGTTTACTAAAAATGGAGTTTGAATGGTCCAACATTTAATTTTAGAAGTTTCTAACTTGAATATGCCTTGAGATTCATGTAGGATCAAGGTCTCATACATCTTCTGTCTTGCAAAAGGTAGTACAAACCAATATCTAAATACATTTGAGAACTCCTCCTAGCTAATCAAATAATTCAATCTCCCAAAAAATTTCTCCTCATGCTGACTCATCCACCAGCACTCAATCTAACAATCTAAAAGAAAGACTGCTAACGGTACCTTCCTCTCAGGAGGTCAATGTATACTATCAAATGACTTCTCTAACCTCGTTAGACCTTTGCAACTCTAGGCTCAATAGTGCCATCAAATTATAGAGGCTTCAATCCCCCATATATAATACCTCATCTTATCTTACAGCAGGAACTTTATATATATACCTCATCTTATCTTACAGCAGGAACTTTTCTCTGTACCACACCCATCATCTAGGCTATCAGGCTAGCAAATTACAAAACTGTATCAGAACCCACTGTTAGAGCTGTACTATATATAGGAGCCGCTTGACAGCCACTTTGCTAATTTGTCATATCTGACTCTGACGCATCCATAAACACACGGAATATACAACTGAGCATACATATTCATGAAACAAATAATAATGAACACCTAGAAAAACACAAAACTACCCCATTAGACTTACATATCACTATAGCTCTATCTTACGATCCATTCCAAAACTAATGCTCTAATACCACAAAAGTTTGTCACAACCCAACCCAACTAGGATAGGTCATATTGCGTTGAGTTGTAACAAACAAATCCCAATATCTTGTTTCAGAATGTTTTTGATTCTCTTACAATCATTTTAAATAAACTACAAACTACAAAGCTAATAAACATTCACATATTGAAAATAAATTCATCCATAAGATTTTTTTTTTATTCATCAAAATGTAACTACACTACAGTACATGAGTACATACATCAATTATAGAACTGAATAATAAATTAACCATGATTGTATTAAAATTAAAATAGAAAAACACCTATAATGTGATATTGAATTGATAACCAACATTATTCTTCCCCTTCCCAAAATTTAAAAACCATAAGCAAAATCACAGTGAGCTACAACAGCTCAGTAGGTCACACAATTTGATCTAAATTTTCAAAATTCTTTATTAAATATTTTGCTGAATATTTAAAAGCGATTAAATGGAATCTAATAAATTAATGCACTACGAAATATAATATGAATATAGTAGTTATGCAATTATTAAAAAATAATACTAAACAAATGAATAAATTGTATTTCATATCATAAAATAGTTTATATCACATTTCACAGACTTAGAAAAAATTTTGGCCCCTTATGACTTATTTTTGTGCTCATAACATTAAAATATGCCCATAGACACTAGAAAATGACTTGCAGCCATTAGAACATGCCTTATAGACGCCAAAATATTCCTTGACACAAAAAAAATCTCAAAGTATTTTGGTCTCTTATGACTCCTAAATATTATTTAATCATATATGCACATTTTTTATCATATTATAACAATTAAAATGTAATTGAGCATGTGTTAGAATTGCACATAGACAACAGAAAACCCTAACATGCAAAAATGCACATTTTTAAAAAATAATTAAATTATTAGGGATTGTGTAAAATAATATTTTAACACTTTTATCGTACTATAACACTATTTTTCAATGTCAAAATAATATTCTATTCAATAAAAACCACATAAATTCCAATACACTTGTAAAATTTTCTAAAAACACTCAAAACGTTCGTAATCTCAATCTCTATAACATATAAAAAGTATGCGGTGAAAGTTTTATGAATACAAATTTATCCGTATTTTCTGCCAACGAAAATAAAATTTTATTCGAAAAAGTTTATAAAATTACATATTTTTTTTAAAATTGATATATGCGTAATCTTACTTACCTTGATCAGAACAACTTTTTGAATTGTGCTGACGACTGAAAATGACCCGAAGCAGCTAAAAAAATCATCTTCCACCTTCCCAAATCCTCTTCTTATGGATTTTTCCAATCGGGTCAAAATAGGTCAATCCAGATGTTGAACATGTAAGTGTTACATGACGATAGTTGAGCGGAAGTCCAGCGGTAGTCGGCGATTGGGTGGAAGTCTGACGGCGATTAGTAGGGTCCAACGATGGTTAGGCGAAAGTCCAACGGTGGTTGACACCTGGGCGGTGATTGACGACCAGGCGGTGGTCCGACGATGGTCAGGTGGAAGTCCAACGGCGGTCGACGATCGGTTGCCCAACAAAGGTCGAGTGGAAGTCCGACGGCGGTTGGAGGCCGGGTGGATGTCCGGCGGGGCGTCGACAATCGGATGAAAGTTTAGCGGTGATCTGATGACGGTCGACAAATGTTTTGTTGATTATCTAGTG